TGCTGGGCTTGGCGCGGTGGGTGCGGCTCCGCAACGTCTCGCTGCACGACGCCTACAACACCGCCCTCGCGGGTATCGTGCGCGATGAAGCGATTGAGCGGGAGTTCATCGAGGAGGACGCCGCGTTCCTCGTGTGGAGGCGCTTCATTGACCACACCCGCCACGGGGCGGTGGTGTCCTTAGAAAAGCGAGAAGAGCTGGTGCGCCGCTACATTGTCGACGAATTCTTTGCGTCGGCTTTGAAAGACCTGGTCCATTTTGAGACCCTTCATCGGCAGCATGTGGCACGGCAGTTTCTGGATAGTCTCTTCCTGAAGCTTTGCCAAGTGAAGCCCGGGTGGATGTGGCGGCGCGTCCCCCCTCTGTTGGACGAGGATTCAGCCGCCGCCGCCGCCACCGTCGCGGCAGCACAAACAGAGGCAGCTGCTCCGTCGTGGATCGAGGCGCTTGCCGCCGAAGAGTGTGCCGCGCGGAGGTGCATCACGGACAAATTTTTTGCCGGCTTATTTCTTGTGGTTGAGGTCTTTGCCGCCGCAGAAAAGCGGATCATGCATAGCATGCATCGGCATCAGGCAGGTGTGACGTCACTCTCTGAAATTGGGAGAATGGCCACCGTCATTCAGGCTGCCTTCCGTGGGTACCGTGTGCGACACCGCAACGCCATCGCTGCGGGGCAAGCAAAGGTGAAAGCTATGTAAGTATGGTTGACTGAGACACTGCGATGTTAGAATTGTTGACATTTGGTCTCTACCTACGTTTGGTTGCTTTCTTCGCTACCCATGACATCTTGCTCCGTTTGTTTTCGTTAGTTTATTTATTCAAGAACCGTAAGGCAACTGAGAACATATCCGCGTCTTTTACTCCCTCACTTGTGACATGACCACGCTATCTAAGGGTGAGTTCGTGTTTTTGGGCGAGAAGAGGCAGTTGCTCCTTCTCGAGAAGGACACAGACCGGGGCCCACACATTATCTATGGTGGTGAACTTCTCGCCTTTGCGTGCAGTGACGATGAAACTGTCATGGCGTTGGCGCTTCCACCACAACCGGGGGCAAATGCCTGCGTGGTGCGTCTATACGGCTTTAAGGACAATGAGCTCGGAGATGCCTTGGGTGAACTGACGAGCCCCAATGTGACGCAGCTGCTCTGGGCAGGGCCGCGCCATCTCGTCGTGTGCGGTCCTTCTGGATGCACCATATACACGTGGAATAAGGAAAAACTGAAATTTTTTGTAAGGGACGCGGCAATAATTTCTTTCATGCAGGCGGATCGAGTTGCGTTGTACTACGAAACATCACAAACACTGCAGTATTGGAACCTGGACACAAACCGGATGATGGACTCTGTCAAGTTGTCCTTGCGGGGCCATCGTTTAGTCTCTGTTTTTGGTGCCGGCTACTTTGGTTTTGCGCTCTACGAAGACGGGACTGTGCAGGTATTCTACGTCACGAAGTCAAACATAAAGAAGCTTGAATTGTTTGATCGACTCCTTCCTGTAGCTGCGGTGGAAAGCACTACATATGGGGCGCCACCCCTTCTAGTAGCCTGCGCGATTTCTTCCCGCCGAGTACTCCTGGGGCTGCGCGGCGACAGCCGAGTTCACAGAATGGAGTACAAGAACGAGCGACTGGTGGTGAACAGCATGCAGGAGAACCTTCCGCCGCTGCACGCACTCATGGCGCTCTCCCGCGATGGTCAGCGCTGCCTGGCGTTCAACACAAGTACGTGTCGGTACCACGAACTGAAGCTGTCCCTTGGAACAGCAAAAACAACTGGGAATGAGGCCAAGGAGCGACAGAAGGTAACTGCCCCCAACGCCGACGTGGATGACGAAAAATCGGAAAAGGGGCGCGTAGCGGGGACGCGTAAGGAAGAGCGGCGACGCGCAGCGGCGACTGTTGTCGGGGACGCCGCGGAGATGAAGACGACGGACCCGACAAGGCGGACGGCTCGTAACGGCACAACGGGCGGGACCGAAACACCTACTAACAACGGCGACATCAAGGGATCAACGCTCGCTTTTGCTGGGGCTGCTCTAGTAGTAATTGCCGTGCTTGCGCTACGCATCCTGTCACGCTGAAAAACAAAGGTGCGTGTGTGGGGAGTGGAGTAGACTGTGGCATGGAGGGAAAGGAGGCATCAAAGTCAAAACGCTTATCCACACGCGGTGTTGCCGTTGTTGTGGTGTGAACAGATGCCTTTCGGCGCTGTTAGGTGCCGTTTAAGCCGCGGAAGGTTTCACCTTGTCTGGACACATGAACGGTGGGTGAGATTTGTTTGTGTAGTGTACGAGGCAAAATAAAAGGCAAAGATGCATGATTGGACCCTTGCACTTACTTCCTGCCGATCATCACAAGAAGTATATATGCTTTTTCTCTACCCCCGGCTTTGGCATGGCACCACATCATGCCAGTGTTTAATACAAGCGAGTGTATACATAAAAAAAAAACATACATACACTTGGAGAGAAATAGGGAAGCGAGAGAAATGCCATTGGTGTCTTTGCCTCCCCCATTTATTGTGTAGGTTTAGTAGGAAGGGGAGGGAAGGCGGTGGTGGGCCGACCGTTACTCCTTACCGCTATCGAAAACAAAGGCCCATCATGACGGAGGTCGGGGGGGAGAAGTTTCTCGGATCAGGCGATGACGAGGCACAGAATGTGCGTTCTATGCCCAACAGAGACAAAAATACTAAGGAGCGCGCGAACGACGGCGCAAAGCGTCAGGAAACGAGGGGAGTCGTGAATAAGAATGGACAGAAAGGGGAGTCTGATGCGATTTCCTCTCTTTCTGCTTCTGCTACTCTGAGTGGACAGGTCAAAGTGGGAAGCACTGTGTACCAACGCACAACGCGCGAAGACGAATCAGGGTTTTTTGGTGGCGGAACGGTTGCTGTGTGGACCCAGGAAGGAAAGCCGACAGATGAGGGCTGGGCTGAGGTGACACTGGAGTCTGGCGATGTGGTGTACATGCAGTGGGGCAGTCCATCGATCACGCGCTGGCAGCTGCCGGACCCTCCAAGGGTGCAAAACCCCACAACGGTGGCGGAGAGGTCCTTTGACATCAAAAAGGACTGGGCAGAGCAGCAGCGCAAACTAGTGCGGACAGCTGCGGCGAAGGCGCTGGACGACTGTGTCTTCTCCCGTGGCGAGGAGAAGAGCATGCCAGAGGCGGAGCGTGCACAAATGGTGCAGAATATCGCCAATGAATACATGGTAGCCAGCGGTGCGAATGGGTACGATGAGAGCTCGGACAAGTGGCTGCGCCGTGCTGCAGGAACGGAGGTCGACACTCTCTTGGCAGCGCGGCGGATGACGAAGACAGCGGGGTGGGCACTGCAGCAGCAGCCTGCCACACTTGTTCTGCAGGCGAAGCTTGGTCTTGTGGGGTACGTTTCACGTGAGGTGGATGGCTCGGCCGCCGCCACGACCGCCACGGAGCCGCTGCAAGATGAAGAGGAGCTGCTGGCACCGGAATCACCGTTTCTCCCATGCGCCCGCTTCCTGCGCGACCCATACTATGCCTCTCTCCTCGGCAGCCCATGCGCCCGCCGCGGCTGCAATGAACCACGGCTGGAGGCGACGACATTCGCAGTTCCCGGCTCGGGGGAGGTGCGCGTTTTGTGTGCTGTCACCGCCTACGAAGGCTTCGAGGGACCACAGACGCACCTCTACGCCGTTGCACGCGACTGGACAGGAGCTTTTTGTTTGTTTGTTCTGGAGCCTTTTCACGACGCAGTTGAGGCGACTGTCTTGTCGGCCTACCCACTGTTGGACTCTATCGAGCTGTCGCCTGTGTCGAATCAGCGCGTTGACTTTCGTGTGGATGGGACGTCGTTTGTCGCGTCTTTCAAAGACAAGCAGCACACCCAGTGGTTCCATGACGCTCTCAAGGCAGCGATGGCTTCCATGTACGGCGAGGGAAACGATTCTGAACGCATCGTGAAGATGCGAGCGTACAGCGTGGAGTTTGCTGCACACTACACGCATGATAGAAGCACCAACCTGCTTGGGGTGCTGCATGCCATTCTCTCCGAAACTGAGCACGTTGGTGCTATGATGGACGACAACTTTGCGCAGTTGCGCATATGCCTGCGAACACCGCAAGGGCGAGACCAGGTTTCACAGCGGTGGCTTGACTCATCGGCAAAGCTGCTCACTGCCGGCGCCGCTGCCTGCCCCGCTGCTGTGGCCAACCACCTACGCATGATGGAGGAACTCATGAAGTGCCCCACACCACACATGGACGGCCATATTTCAGGCTGTCTGCAGGATCGACTGAAGACTATGGGGCGGGAGCTGCCGGAATGCACAGCAAAGTGTGCCCGTCTCAGTGTTCTCCTTGGGTCTACGGAAGCTGTCATGCTGAAGTGGGCATCGCGCTATGAGACCCCTGATGTCCCCTTTGAGCCGTGCTTCCAGCCTTTGCCCCATTCACAAGCCGCAGAATACGAGGGGGCGCTCTTCGCGAAACGGCGAGTGCGTACCGCGGCGTATCGCCACTCCCCCGGTATCTATCTGGCGGTGCTGTGCTTCTGTGGCGACAAACTTCTCACCGACAAGAGTGGGAGGCTGATCGCGGAGGTCATCCAGCCTGAGCCCACACGAGCAGAACTCTTACAGCTGACGGCAGACTGCGAAGACTACCGCTGGCTGCTCCGCCTCGGCGGCGCCGATGAGAACTGGGCTGAAGAGAAGCTCCAGGAGTGGGCCGCCGTCTATGAGGAGCGTGGCACGGAGTCGTTCAAAGGTCGCTTCATTCGGGCAGCCAGCCGTCTACGCGACACTAAGACATTCCCTACGCTGGGATGCATTTTTGACACACCCATCCTGCAGGAGGAGGCAGGCTCAGCCTTCGTTCTCACGGTGTGCGAGGTGAAATCGGAAGATATGATCGTCCCAAGTGTTGGGATCTGGCGCGATGTGGGTGACGTGGAGCGCGTTGCGTACACGCAGTCTTTAATGTGCCCGGAGAGCGCGCGTGTGGTGTCTCTCTCAAGCCGTTATCGCAACTGTGTCCGCTACGTGGATGCTGCTGCGCAGTACCGGGCGAGCCTTACAGAGCGCCTAGCACCGGGTTTCTACCTCGGCTTCTTTCTCTCTTCGGTAAGCGCAGAGGGGATGACCATGCTTGTGCCTGAATGCAACCGAAATCTGCCACCTCTGGTGAAGGTGAGTTCAGAGCCTCCGTCGCTGCAGCAGTGGCGGTGGCTGCAAAGTTTGAATTACCGCCAACAGACGTTACAAACATTCGGGTTGCCTGCGCCGGAAGATCTCTCAACACCGCTAGATGAGGACGCACCGTTTGAGAGCAAGGTGGGCCACGCGGTGGCAGCGCTGGAGGCGGCGGTGGGTCTGCGTGTGCAGCAGTTCTACGACCTAGAGCTCTTCGCGCTAGACGAGGAGCAGTCCATCTACGCCTTTTTTGCTGTGGCATACTATCCACCACCACTGCCGCCGCTTGGTGCCAGTGCTACTGCAGAGGCACCTAAGGGCCTCGTGCCAATGACCTTTAAGCTTGTGCGCGTGGTTGATGACCACCACCAGCGACGCTACTGGCACCGTGTGTACGACTGCCTTGCTGATGAGACGGATCTCGCATACAGGAACCTCTGTGTGAGGACACAGCCCTTCACCTCTGATGAGGTAATGCGCCTGAACCCCGCGAATGAGGCCATGCTGTATGCGGTGGATTTGGACAGGTACGCGCTGCTGCTGAGCTGGGCGAGGACCCTCGCGATTTGGGTGGAGACGGACGGCTTGACGCTCGTGCAGAAGTACGCGGAACGGCTACTGGAGAGAACAGCAGGAACAACAACCACAATGACGACAGAGACTAAAAAGCACAGCTCTATCCCGTCTATTGAGGAAGTGGTGGATATTGCCGTTTCCAACCAGGCTGCTGCGATGGATCCGAATTTGTTTGCCATGAAGTCACTGATGCTTCAGCTGAAAACTGGTGGCAAGGGGGAGTGGGTGTCTATCCTACAGCGTCTGCAGGATATCGATGACACCATGACAGAAGGCTACGCAGGCCGCGTTGCCCTATCGACTCGGACAGACAACGCGCCTATCCCACTGCGCAGCTTTGACGAAGTGCCGGTGGAGGATGGGCTTTGTGCCGCTCGCCCCCCGACGGTGTACGAGCTGCCGTGCTCACTGATGGAGTTCGTGTCTGGTGGAGACAACGTCGCTGAGGCGCACCTCTTCGCGCGCGAGATCGTCGACGACATAATTGATGTGGCAGTGACAGGCGGAGAGGTGGCGGCGCTCGGTCGCGTCGTGGAGATGATGGTGACATGCGTAGAGACCGCTGAGGACATGACAGATGGCGTCGTGCTGGAGAGGCTGCGCGCGGACGCTGAAGAGGCGGCATGGGCGGAGCGGCAGGCGTTCCTGCAGGAGTGGGGTGAACTCTGCAACGCGCAGCGCCGCCCTTCATCGTTCGACGATGCGCTGGACGCGGCGGTGGAGGCGCCGGAGCCGTTATTTAGCGCCGGATCGCAGCAGCGCGTACTCAGCGCCAGCGACGGCGTGCGTGTGTGCCTCGCGCGGGCAGCTGAGGACGCCGACCGGCTGCAGGAGCTCCTGCGCGTGGCGAACTCTGCTCTCCACAGCCTGGAGCTGGTGCAGTGTCTGCGCGAGTACAATGACACCCTGCAAAAGCGGGAACAAGCCCTCTTCGGCCAACGCAGCAAGAACGACGGCGACAAGAGCCACCACCGCAATCACCATCTCCACAACATGAATAACACCAATGACAAGGGTGTGGAGGGGGTGCTAAGCGTGGACTCCACCGCTGTTGTCACGCGGCCGCGACTTGTGACGCTTGTTTCCCGTGAGCAGCGCGAGATTCCCCTCTATGCGCTGGACCCCTTCCGTTGCTTGAAGCTGCATGGTGATCGTATACGTGTGCCGTTCCTGGAGTTCGGCTACACCGAACTTCGGGTGCTCGGTGACCACATGAACGCACCCGAAGAGGAGGTTGCCGCACAGCTTCGTGACTTGGACCCACCTGCTGACAAACAGAAGAGAATGCTGCATATGGCACTGGAGCTGCAGGCCCCCCTGCTTGCTCTACGGCTTTTTCCCTTGGTGTACTGCCGCGCCACTGGCCGCTTCGGCGACGAAGCGGCGAGTGCCGTGCGGGAAGTGGTGAGGGCAAATGATTTCTTCCTTCGGTACGGCGTGCGTGATTGGCTACAACTGGAGACGCTCGGTGGCCCTGCGATCGCTAGCGGCATGGACGTTCTTTGGTGGCTGCGCTACCAGCGGGAAGCGGGCGATGGGGCGGAGCTGTACAGCAGCTACAGCGGCGCGTGGAAGCAGGTGTACGCGGAGACGCGCGTGCGTCTGCTACTCTCACGTGGCGCTAGCCGTGTATCGGAGGCAGAGGCGTCGCTGTGGTTTGAGGGGCTTGGCCGTCATGTTGCCTTCATCAGCTTCAAGGGACAGACGCACGTCGCGGATGCGGAGGTGGCCATGCTGGCTGCGGCGTGCCCGCTTCTGCAGTCGCTTGACCTCTCCGGCACCGCCGTGATGGACGAGTCGGTGCGGCTGCTGGACACGCGATGCAAGTGTCTGGTGGAGTGCAGCGTGGCGGGGAGTCGCGTGTCGCGAGAGGCGGCAGCGCGGCTGAGCGACATCTGCATGCGGAATGCGCGGAATCGCTAAGGAATGGCACATCTCTCTGATCCTCTTAATCATCGGTTTGGTATCGGCCCTGACTTCTCAGTATTTATCGTAATTGTGTGATGTGCGCGGTGCGCTGTCCAGCCGCTGGTTCCCCCCTTTTGCGCCCTCCACACACTCACACACATACACACATACATACACGCGTTATTTTCGCGGGACGAAGGTGGAGGATGACATGCTTCCTCTCCGTCAGAAGAGGAGTGGCACCATCACCATCGGAAGCAGCACTGACAGTCTATGAGCACGCTAAGAGAAGCAATTCAATGCCCCTGCCAGACGCATTTTCTCTGATTCCCTCTTTCTCTATCTACAAGGGCAATATCTCCCACGGGGGGGGGGCAAAAGTAAGGAGTGGGAGGGTATGCTGAAGGAACAAGTGGATGGCTGCTGGAGGGCCGCGAGCCGCAGTCGACACGGGTGCTCTCTCGGGCTATCGTCATTGTTTACGTTCTTCTCTCACTCGTCGCGGTGGTGCTGAGCATTGTCCTCGCTGTGCGCCCCGGCGGCCACCCGAACACCATCGTGAATGCCGTGGCGATCATTTTCGTTGTGGGCCTGACGCTGCTGCGCATCCGGTGGTACGGCCGCGACCACCAGGACCCGAAGCAGAAGCGCGCCATCTACGGGCTCATGTTCGCCGTGCTCCTGCTGGACGTGGCGGCGTTCATGGTCTCCAGCGAGTCGCTGCACTGTCATGAGCCGGCCCCGTGCCCGGAGATCATCACTACCACCACCACCACAACAACCACATCTGCACCAAGTACGGTAGATGTGAGCATCAACCGAAGCGTTATCGTTGCGGGGATGCGGAAGAGCGTATTCATTAGTGGTGTTTTTGTAAAGTACGTTTTGTATGCCTTCGTGTTCAAAACCTCGCATCCTTCTGTTCGGAGTGCCACCAGCCATTGTTGCTGTTGCTGTTTTGGTACATTCCCTTCTCTGCCCCTTTCAGTGGTTTTGTGTAGGCAGGCGTCGGCGGCGGGTGGGTTGGGCTGGCTCGGAGCCAGCAACGTCGAGATGTCGAATCAGGAGTCGCTGAAGGGGGCGATGCGCGAAGTACTAGAGGCGAAGGGCGTGATCGATCACGTCAAAGCAGAGCTGCGTGCTGCCATCTTTCAATCGCTGCAGGACACTGCCTCACAGGGAGAAGGCGCAGAGTCAGCACGGCCGCCGGTGCCGCCGGAGAACTTGCTGTTGAACGAGCTCATCAAGGAGTACTTAACCTTCAACGGGCTCGAGCACTCTCTAGCGGTGTTCAAGGCGGAGTGTGGGTCGAGTAAAGATGCCGCTGCTGCGCCCATTCCGCGTGCTGTTCTGGCCGCGCAGCTGAACATGACGGGTGCACCGGCGTCGGTGCCGCTGCTGTACGCCATGCTGCACGAGGCACGCGCCTCGAAGGACACTTAGTTGCCACCAGCAGAATGCGCGCGTGCACACACACACACACCACACACCACACACAGAGAGGGAGAGAGTGACAAAGGGAAGGAAAGAGAGAGTGTGAGGAATGCAGCTGTGTGGGACGCCATGTGCGTATGTTGCTGTGGGCGTCTGTGTGCGTGTGTGTGTGTGTGTGTGCACGGCCTTCCTTCTTCCCTCTTCAAGCCTTTTTTTTGGGGGTGACGTAGTTGGCCAGGGAAGATGAGCAGCGACAAGCTGCTCGACATCATATTCAACATGAAGTTCACCATGAAGCAGATGAACAAGAGCGCCGCCACCGCGGAGAAGGCGAGCGAGAAGGAGAAGCTTCTCGTCAAGAAGGCGCTCGAGAAGGGCAACCCGGAGGCCGCCCGCATCTACGCGCAGAACGCTATTCGCAAGCGGAACGAGTCGCTGAATTACCTGCGCCTCGCGTCCCGCATAGACGCCGCGGCGTCTCGCGTGCAGACGGCGCTGCAGATGCGCCAAGTGTCGAAGTCGATGCAGCAGACGGTGCGCGGCATGGACAAGGCACTGCAGTCGCTCGACCCGATGAAGATCGCGAAGGTCATGGACGAGTTTGAGCGGCAGGCCGGTACGCTGGAAGTCAACCTCGGGACGATGGACGCCGCCTTTGAGAGCGCGCAGGCAACAACGGTGCCGGTCGGCGACGTAGACACGCTGATGGAGCAGATCGCGGCGGAGAACAATCTCGACATCCGCGAGAAGATGGGCGGCGCACCGATACGCGGGCAACTCCGCCCAGAGGAGGTGGACGAGGCGAAGGAGATGGCGGAGAGATTAGAGCAGCTGCGCACAGGTGCGGCGTGAATGGAAGGGAAGAAAGGCACAGACGTATATATATATATATATATATATATATATGCGTCTACGGCTGTGGCTGCTATTTCTTTACTTTTTCAAGCGCAGCCTGTTTGCTTCCTTCACATCCATATTTCGTTGGCTTTGTTTGTGTGCGAGTCGCTCACGTGTTGTCGTGTGCCCTTACGATGTGGCTGGATGCTGCGCACGCACACACACATACCTTCACCGCACTACATAGTGGGTAGCATGGGTGTGAAGAGGCGGGATTATCACATTGTAGAGTCCCGTGTGCCATGCGCCTCTCTCTGCCGATGCCCCTTCCACATTCTATCCCTTTCTCCCTCATTCTGTCTGCTTTTTGTGTGTTTGTGTGTCTGTGTGTGTATGCCTTTAGGTGTGACGATGAGGAAAGGCACCAAACGTGCGGCCCGCGCGGAGGAGGATGTCCCCACCACGCGAAGGCGGCTGCGCGACCGCGATGAGGAAGAGACAGCGGCGGTGGCAGAGGAGGAAAAACGGAAGGAACAGCTTCAACATAAGGCGGATGCGCACCGCCGCGCTCCCGTCAACGAAGACGAGGAGTGGGAGGACGCGTCCGACGATGATGACGACGATGATGATTACGGCAGCATCAACGAGCCGCTGGACGAAGATATCGAAGAGGAGATCATTGACGACGGCGACGACGAGGACGATGAGGACGAGGATTACGCCGAGTTTCAGCGCGAGACAGACGCCGTGACGAAGGAACTGCGCCGCGTGACGTTTGACGAAAGTGCGTTGCAGCAGCAACAAGAGGACGGCGAGGACACGGCTCCAATGGTGTGGCGCAGCGACCAAGCGGAGGCTGGCGAGCAGCAGCAGCAGCAGCAGCAACAGCAGCTGGTGTACTCCAACAAGGCGTATGACTCCTTCTTCCAGCTGCGCACAGAGTACCCATGCCTCTCCTTCGATGTGTTGCGTGACAGAGATGCGACAAACCACAACAAGTACCCACTCGCACTCACGCTGGTGTGCGGCTCGCAGGCGGACGAGCTAGCCAAGAACCAACTCTACGTGCTGCGCATCACAAACATATGCCGGACGAAGCACGACGTGGAGAGTGACAGCGACAGCGACGACAGCTACATCGGCGACGAGGGCGAGAGTGAGGATGACGAGAATCAGGACGGGGAGGAGGTCAACAACGGGGAGCCGATTGTGCATCACCGAACGATTTCACACTATGGCACTGCCAACCGTGTGCGGTGCGCCCACCACAACACGAACTTAGTCGCCGTGTGGTCCGACGCGGGCCACGTGCAGGTGTTCGATCTCGAGAACGACGTGGAGATATTATGCGACTACGCCAACTGGGCAAAGAGACACGGGCGTCCCTCCACACAGAAGAAGAAGCCATCGGCTCTGGTCTTCTGCACACCATCGGCGTCGCACAAGACTGAGGGCTACGGTCTCGACTGGAGCACTGTGACGCCTGGTGTCTTCGCCTCTGGCGATTGCGGCGGCGATCTCTTCGTGTGGAAGCCGTCCGACGACGGCCGCTGGAAGGCGGTTGCGAGCAGTACGTGCAGCAGCAGTGGCATGCCGGGGGCATCCGTGGAGGAGATACAGTGGAGCCCCACACAGGCAGACGTCCTCATCGCGACCCGCGTGGGCGGCGTTGTGGAGGTGTGGGACACGCGCGACATGCGGCGCTGCAAAATCAGCTGGCAGGCCGACCCCACCGACATCAACGTCGCCGACTGGAACAGGGCGCGGCAGGCATCGCACCTGCTCGTCACCGGCGCCGACAGTGGCGCGGTGGCGGTGTGGGACCTCCGCAAGGTCGCTGAGGCAACCCCGATTCAGCAGCTGCCGTGGCACCGCGGCAGCATCACGTCTGTCGAGTTCTCACTGCACAACGAGAGCGTCCTCGCCGTCACCGGCGATGACGGCCAGTGCACGCTGTGGGACCTCAGCCTCGAGCGTGATCCGAGTGAGGAGAAGGAGGTGATTGGCGAGCTGTTCGGACGGCAGGACTTGACGGGCATCCCCGACCAGCTGATGTTCCAGCACCAGGGTCTTACGCACCCGAAGGAGGCGCACTGGCACGCGCAGATACCGGGCATGGTGCTGACCACGGACTACGCGGGGCTGCACCTCTTCCGGCCAATGAACTGGCGTTCGCTCATGAAGTAATGGAATGAAGGAACGAAGGAGGGCAAAAAAAAAAGAAAGGAAAGAGAGACATCTGTAACGACGCAAAGGAGAGAAGAAGGCAAGAAACAAAAAAAAATTAGCAACAGCAGCACGAAGAAGAAGAAAAGTGAGGAGGAAAAGAAAAGAGTGCATGCAGGAGAAGGAGTTGGGGTGGGAGGCCTTCGATCACCTTTCGTCGCATAAACGGCTAACTGACGTACACACATCCACGCGTCCCGCTCCACTAGGGGCACCACTAGGGGTTTTGTCTGTCGCTCTCCTGAAGCGGTATTTCCTTCCGCATAAATATTATATATTGCTGTTGCTCCTTCTTTTTTTCGTCTTTCCTTCGCCTCTCTTCTTTCACATGGTGGCTGCATACAGTATTGAGGGAACTTCCTCCAGCTTCCCCTGTCGTCAGGTCGCCAAGCAGCCAACTAGTAAGGAGCAAACTGGAAGGATTCGTCATGAACCTGCTCACCCCCTTTGCCCTTCTGATTGTCAACTGGAGTCTTGACTTCACTGACCCGGAGGTACAGCGGATAATCAGCTACATCTTCTATCTGGTGCATGGCGTCGTCTTCATTGTGATGGGTATTCTCTTCTTCCGCATTTGGGTAAGTGACGACACGCGCGTGGTGCATGCGAAGGATTCATACACTAACGAAATGGAGAAGATGACGACGTGGGAATACGACTCCTCCAGGTGGCGCACCTTGTTCTTTTCAAAGCTTCTTCTTCCAGTTGCCGTGGGCCTTTTTGTGGCGTCGCGGTGGAATACGCCCTTTCCGCTGCTGCTGCAGTGCATCAGCAACCCCAACACGGTCTACCGCTTCCCTCTCTTCCAGCTGCACCTGCTGCACAAGCCAGAGGAGGGAAAGTTGGTGCGCCCATGGAAAGAAGAGTCCGTGATGCCGGAGTGGATGCAGCAGATATGGCAGCAGAGTCAGCCGAGTGAGGAGACTCCCGCGCCGGGCTCACCCGCCCACAAGAACAAAAAGCGGAAGTCTTATAATTGAAACCACGACGCGAAGGCGGAGGAGGCGGGCAACGGACTGAAGGAGAAAGGATTGCTGCGAAGATAGGGAAGGGGAACTCGTTAAAGGAGCCCTGCAGGGTGGGCATCTACCACCCAGCTGTGCGACGGTGTAGCAGCTCTCGTGTGGGCCTCGTCCATGACGGGGGGGGAAAAAAAAGATGAACGCTTCCAATGCAAAAGAGAGAAGCGAAATACACAAAATGCAAAGGAATGGGCGATGAAAACATTTATTGTGGAAAATTGCAGAAAACATGAATACGCAATTGCTTACTGAAGTGTCCACTTGCTCTCTCTTTCTCTCTCTCTCTCTCACACACGTAAATGATCGTCGGCTAACCACCACGCTTTCACATCCATCCGCCTACTCTTCCTCGTCATTTGTGCGTCACCCGGTCATTGTGATCTCCCTCAACCTGTCCGTCTCCTCCTTTTTTTTTGTTGTTGCTATTGCCGCGGCAGTGGTGTGGCTGTGAGATCCCTGGGCCGGAGTATATACGAACACTAGGTAGGGAGGGGCGGGGGTAAAAGACACAGCTGACCAATGCAGAAGCTGCTGGAGGATGTGCTAGAGTCGGGTGACGTGCTTGAGCTCGAGAGTGCTATCATCGGTGCGCAAAGCAGCATTGTCGCCTCGCCTAATCCTCGCCAGGTAAGCAGCCAACTCAACGATATCCTCCTGCGTTGCAGGAAGACGTTAGTGCTGCGCCTCGAGGAGTGCAAGCCGCTGCTGAAGCCGCTTCGCCGGGCATGCCGGAACTTTGATGAAGAGGCACTGACGGATGCCCTCCACCGTGTGCACTGCGCCCCACCGGAGCTGCGGCGGTACATGCGCACGGACATCCGACAGGCCGAGGCGCTGCGCAGCCGCATGCGTCAGGCAGCGGAGGAGGCGCACCGACTCATGCAAAGCAGGGACTGGCGTGAGGTGGATCACTTTCTCAACACCAACACCGCCATCCTCCCCGACCGAACGGTGTTGGCGCTTATGCAGAGACGTGAGGCACTCTTTGTGCCGCGTTGTGGGCAGCCCACAAACACCCCGTTGTGTTTGCCAGATTTGCCTGCGCCTTCACTCTCCGATGCCCGCTCCCAGTGGCCGGAGGAAAAGGTGAGGCCCGGCACGCATGCCAGCCTTGCGCTGGGGGCGGTGCGGTGCGACGAGGAGAATAGCCGCCACGAATTGCTCGAAGAAGAGCACCACCAGCGTGTGCTTTGCTTCAAGTCGGTGATGGAGGCTATAGCATTGCTGCTGGTGCCCCTCGACGGCACTCAAATTTCAGCAGAAGAAGCAGCAGCAGCAATATCGAAAACACCACGCAGCGTGACGGCGGAGGTAACACCGGTGTCGCGTGATAGGGTGAGTGCGTCGCCGTCGCGCAGCTCCCCAGACGGCGGGTGCGGTGCCCCCCCAGTGGGTGGCGCGTTGACGCCGAAGGTGTCTCCCATCAAATCGAGCCTTCTGGTGGATTCCGCTGCGAGGATGGAGCCGCGGCGACTTGTTGGGCTTAACTCCCCGTCGGCCGAGACCCGCGACAACAGCTCGAGCTACATTGTACTGGAGGGTACCATCACACCCTCTCTTCGGGAGCGGCAGGCTGTGGTGTCGCCAAGGGTGTGGGCGCAGGTCCGTTCTGTGATGCGTGAGGAGGACGTGCGTCGCCACAATATTGAGGGCACTGAGGATTTCGAGCGCAGCGTATTCCTGCTGCCCATGGCGGCGCGCAGCGCACTCCTCACTCGCATCCTCCCGGGGCGGCGGTCATGGCCGAGGGGGTCCTGAAAGGGGGGTGCGTAATGACCTTCAATTTTCTCTCACCGCCTCTCTTTTCGTGTTCTCCATTTATGTTTCTCACTTTCTTTCGCTCGGATCTACACGTGGAAGACAATGCTCTATTCCTTTCTTGCTCTTTTATATGCACTCACCCTGTCACCTTTGTCTCTCAGGTATTCTTGCATGGCTCGTGGGCCGCAGCTCCGGCAGTGCTGCGCCCAATGTGCGTGCGGCTGCGGCTGCTGCAGGCTCCTCAGCGAGGCCCACGCGGCACGAGAGGAGCGACTTCGCGAAGAAGCGTTGCTGCAGGCAAAGCACAAGTGGCACCCGCTGGAGGTGCCGAAAATGGGGCAGCTGGCACGGCGTTTTATGAACGAGGAACAGGACAACACGAGCGATCAAGCCATCGCAATGCGGATGCGGTTTATGTACTAGATGCTTCACAGTTTCACCACCCCTCTTTATTGCCCGTCGTGCAGTACGCTCTCCGATTATTAGAGGTGTGCGCAGTCTATGAGCCATATTTCACGTGCCATTACGCATGCTCATTTTTTTTTCTTCACTCTTTTCTTTGCCTCCTTTCTGCGGGGTTTTGGCAGTGGAGGGTGAAGAGATGCGGCAGGAACGGCAGGGTCCCGCCAGGAGTGGGCGCGGCCCCCGTAGCAAGTTCGTCATGGTGTGCTTTTCACAGATAGTCGTGTCGTCAACGCTGCTGGTGCTGTTTGTCGGACATCTGACTGCCGCGAACACGCTCCTCCAGTTGAGTTCGCACGTATTCCGCTTCTCATGCATCACTGCCGGCGCTCTTGCGGCCCAACTGGTTGTATCCGTCGCCGCTGTTGTTAGTGTATGGGTATGCTTTCCGAAGCTGCTGCTGACCGCGACGCTGAGCATCACACTCCTGCTGGTGGCGATTTCTTTCGCCATCACGTGGGTGGTGGAGCTGCGACACGGCGCGTGGAATGCCTTTTTCGCTTCTGCCTACGATACAAATGGAGACGACGCGTGCCCTGGCATTGCCGGTGGCGACTGCTGCGGGTGGGACTACTGCCCATACCCGATGTGCCCATTTGCACACCGCTCGTGCGATGGTGTTGTGGCGAAGTGGGCTCACACGTTTTTCATGCGGGCGGCGCCAATGCTGTCGCTGGCGCTCGCACTGGGCGTTGGGCAGACGGTGCTGGGCCTTCACCTCGTGCAGCAGTCGTGGTGGTGGCGGCGGAGGTGGAGGTCGGCCTCCGCAGCAGCGCCTGCACACCTCGCGTCGCGCATGTGATGTGCCCGCGTTGCCACCCCCCACCCCCGCCCCCATACCGTTGTGGCTGGCACTTGCAGTCGCCCGTTTGTCTTGCGTGGGCAATGTCTTTCTTCCTTGGCAACGCTTCCTCTTTCTCGTGGCGCAGACGCGTGGTTGTGTTTTTTGTGTCTATTGGCGCCCCCTCCCTCCTTCCCTCCCCC